ACATGTTAATTGGAGACTTTTCTATCCCGTATATGAGTTTTCGAGCTAATTCTGTTTCTTTTCTTTTTTTTAAAGTTAGCAAACAAATCTTGCACATTAAAACCTTTGTCTGCCATCACACTGTCACCTGGATCACATAATTGAACTATTCTACATCTTTCAACTATTTGACGGTCACTGGTACAACCAACATATGCATTAGAGACATAGTTGACTAAACCACCAGGTGTCGAACATACAAGTATTTTCAGTGTTTCTGTTTTTATATGATGAAAAGGTTGCCTGTTGAGCTCTAAGAGCTTTAGGTTTTATCACGGGATATTCTGTGCTGTCAATAATAATCCAAGTTGTAGGAAACTTTAATTTGATGTCGGATGGCGAAAAATACCTGACTAAACCACTAGATGGCCAAGTGTAAGCCTCTCGCCACTGTTTAGACATAAAAACAATTCATGTATACACAATATTCTTAACACTAGATTCAATCTAGAATCTAGACAGTTCAAAGTTGGTTGTATAATGCCTCAATTTCATCAAAGTCATTAAAAAACTGATTTTCACCTGACACCCGATCAATTTGAAAATATATGTATCTCAAACAATGTACTGCTGGACCAAGTGTGGTCAAAACAAATTAAAATTTAGTATACGACTCTAAACCGGTATAAAAATGCATGGCTGTGTCATGTGTCATCATTTGCGAAATTCTCTGCTGAAAACATAGGCATTGATGGTGTTTGCGTAATTCCATCTGTGAGGGTCAACATTAGCTCGACAGTTGGTGGTGGACAGTCATAAATCCTTTCTGCAGTATGAATGACTTCTTTAGTCTTCAAGAAAACCAACTTCACAATCAAAACTTTCCTCTAGATTTCTCCTACAATATTCATCCAGTTTAGTTCTTTTGTTTTCACGGGAAACTGCCCTGATTTTTCTTTTTGCGAACGATTCAGTCTCTTGCTTGGTCCAGGAAAATAGGCTGGGAATGGCAGTAGGCTTAAGTCTCTGTATGGTGGGTTTGCGCCCTGAAAAGGTTATAAAACATTAGTTTTTTGATAAATGAACTTCCATTAGCAATGTATACTTTGTACTACCTGGCAAAATATTAACTAGATTTATTCATTACAATCTGGATAAAACTATGTTTGCCTGATTCAATGTATGTTATGTAAATCCAAAGGACAAACAATGAGAGACTTATGCAACAAACGTACATTGTCTGTACCTAAATAACTATAATATATATGAGAGCATGTCATTTTTTTGTTCCTGTTAACATTGTCATTGATATTTTTCAAGAAAGTCTATGAGGCATAGCTTATGCATTCCTGTCATTACTACATTAGCATAATTACTGCTAAAACAATTCTCAGTATGATATACCTCTTGTAAGAAATCATTATAATTGTAGCATTCACCAAAAAATCTCAAACAGATCACATTAAATCGTAATCAAAAAATTATGACGTCTTGAATTAACCCCCCCCCCCCCCCTTTTATTCTAAAACGATAATTGAGGTTGGAAACAGACTTTGGTTTATTCGCATGGCGATTATATATATAACTATATATTTCAAAAAGAAAATAGAGTTTTACCATGAATAGTTTCCTGCACGTAGTCTTTTTCAGTAAAATGTGCCTTGCAAACAACAGCTGAATTTGAGATGCGCTCCACGATTTCATCGTGTTCTCGTCCAATCTGCGTATGGGCCATGGCGTTGATCAAACTTTTCCTTCTTTTAAGTCATTTGGAAATGCATGTCCTCCTCTTAAATGACATCCAGGTACACAACAACAAGTACTTGGCATCGTTAATTAAAAATGTAACTGTAATAGTTGCACAGTGCAGAAACCGGAAGTTGAGGAACAGGAACGGCTAACACGGCGCCACCTATTCAGGAACGATAATTTGCTACTTTACAAAACTGATACCGAAATAACAATAACGTCAGACGGCTTCATGTGCATAAACAGAAATGCGCTTTAAATTGTATAATATAATTCATGTTCAGTCGACCTTTAATTATTATATCAACGACTGAAATGATTTAAAAACATCTAGATTGCAGATAACACTCGAAATTTACCCGACCTCTTTCCTCACGGAATTCAAATAATTCTAGTTTGTCAATCGGTTGACTGCTTATAATGCAAAATACAAATATATATAAAGTTTTTAAAACTAACAAAACACAATGATCGTTTCTTTATTTCCCAATGTAAATGAAATGAAACAAAAAACATTTTATATCACAAAAAGAAGTGGAGAGAATTCAACATTTCCGGATCTACTTGTAGCCTAATGACCCCCCACGTAGATAAGTTGGATATCGCGGAAGGAAATATTAACCCGGCAACCAGAAAGGCATTAAAGCACTGCCTTTAAAAAATAATCCACAATATCGTTTGACATTTGGCTTTTGTGACGCGAACCATGAAAGATGACCTCAGAAATTTGACCTTCAATGTCAAATAATTAATGTTTTGTATGTCCGCCTTAATAACATTTACATTTGTGCTTGTAATTGAGCCTAACGGTTTGCCCCCTGGTGATCATGTTTATTCCCCTCATATAAAATCGTTCGGAATCATAAAATGGTTCAGATCCACGCCCTTAACCAATAATATTCTTGATAATTGCCTCGAAAAAACCTTTCTAATTCACATAAGGCTTATTCTACGGTGAAATGTTCACCCCTATATATCAAAAATGGTTAGATACTTTGAAAAAATTTTCATATCCACACTCCTAAACTATATAATACATTCTTAGTAGTTATCACAGGACGTTTATAGTACACCATAGTTTTCTTACCCTTGGGATCAAGCCATTCATTTTTTTTAAAATCGTAAATGGTTAAATATATCAAAAACTGTTATTATTCCCAACCGAAACCACATATAATCTCAACTGTAAGATAAGACCTCTCCCGTGCACAATAGATTTTCTTCCTGGGGCTCATGGCACATCCAATTCAAATAATGAATTGTTAAAATATCTCTTCAACTAGTACTGTGCAAATGTTTATGTTTCTATGTATGTTGGCGTTTGTTTTTGTTGCAGTTCAGTGTTTCTGTTGTTCCGTTGTTTTCCTTTTATACTTGATGTGTTTCCCTCGGTTTTAGTTTGTAACCCGGATTTGTTTTCGCTTAATCGATTGATGACTATTGAACAGCGGTATACTACTGTTGCCTTTATTCATCCCTAAATCAACATTCGACAAACACATTTTTATTTGCAATGGCAATACCTTCCCAGTACTGCTATGTGTTTTTGTACGTTTCCATTAACGAGGTAGCTTCTCTTTTCTCTAGATGTTATGGATGAAGGGGAGACATGCTTATGTTGTACTCCACTAAAACAGATCTACCTAGTTTTCCCCCTGAAATTTTGTATGGATATTTAAGTTTGCCATTGGCCAAGATCTTGATACTCTGCACTGTTGACAGTGCTGTATGATTTAAGGTAGTCAGAATGATTGACTTCATTATTAGCAGCTTTTTTAAAGGCACGTTGAGCTAGCTTTAAGTGACAATAAAATACTCTTTGATACTGTTTTATGGAATTATTTGAAATTTTGTCATCTAATTGTCTTCTGTTATTCTAATGTTTTGCTGAGTGTTTTTTTGTTGTTGTGTCATTGACAAATATACTACTCATCCCCTTATATTAATTCGTGAAATGTGTTTCGTATTATATTCAAATGTGTAAATAAAAGCTAAGAAAGCCAAAAAAAATACTTAAATCCAATACCTGTTAATATATTATATGAAGTTTAGAGTATATTGAATTTTTCGAAATACTAAGGATTTTCTACCTCCAGGAATAGATGACCTTAGCTGTATATGGCAAAACTCTGAGGAATTTTGGGTCCTCAATGCTCTTCAACTTCGTACTTTGTTTGGCCTTATTTTTACTTTTTTGATTCGAGCGTCACCAATGATTATTTTTTAGACGAAACGTGCGTCTGGCGTACAAAATTTCAATCCTGGTATCTATGATGAGTTTATTGTCAAAATTACAAGAAATCAGAACAGGCAAAAATAAGGTGCTAACAAAAGTCACAACACAGATTCCTACGATTGATATAACGAATCCCCATTAAACACGAGGCATCATTCATGTTGCCTTGAAGCTTAAGTTTAAATTTGGTATGGAACCTGAAGCATTTAAGACAAAAACATCACTGCTCATTTGGGAGTCAATCACCTCTTTATGATCGACCAAATTCATAATGGTGATCATTTACTCGGGCAATGACAATGCTCATTTAGGTATGACTGTTTGAAGGAAAAGACTAGAAAATAATAACTCACATTTGATAGTTTGTCCCCAAATAATTTCTTAAAGAGAAGCGAAAGATACCAAAGGGATATTCAAACTCATAAGTCGAAAACAAACTGACAATGACGTGGCTAAACTATGAAAATAACAGACTGGACTGGCGTCGGATATCACAACTTAAATAAGGATATATAAAAAAAAATACCACAAAAATCGTTCAACGACACGTGATTGCATCTATTCAATACTTTAGATGAAGTTCACATTTGTTTTCCGTTCATTGTTTTGTACATATATCAGGCCGTTAGTTTTCTCGTTTGAATTGTTAAACATTTGTCATTTCGAGCCTTTTTATAGCTGACTATGCAGTATGGATTTTGCTCATTGTTGAAGGCCGTACGGTGACCTATAGTTGTTTACTTCTGTGTCATTTGGTCTCTAGTGGAGAGTTGTCTCATTGGCAATCATACCACATCTTCTTATGTTTTATAGTTACACATTATATTACATAAGATACAGATATATTCTAAAGTAAAAGTTCTGTGAAGTATCAAAAGGACAGGCTATTAAGAAGCCTATATAGACACAGGGAAACAGCAAGCTATCAAAGCGTGTGTATGACTGGCTTTATAAACTAATGGCTCTAAAATTAAATATTAGAATGAGAGCGACTTTGAAAGGTAATCAATTGTAATATGTATATAAAAAGAACATCTGTACATATGTAAGTTTATTAAAATATTTTTCTACAACAAACATCAAAGCTTTGGAATTGTTCTAAAATATTTTGGTAAAATGTTTTGATCTTAATATACACTCTTTGGAATTGTGCTCAATAAATAGTCCAACTTGTAATCATCCTTTAGATTGATATGGTTATCTTAATACTTTCAACGAAAATACGAACCTAAATTCCCGAAGAGATCAAATAAACAAAAACATAAAACAAATCCAATTTACTTCATCAAATGAAGAAGTTCATTGTTATTATAAAATGGATTGCTGCCCCTTAGATGAAGTTAAATTTTGTATCAAGGAAAATAACAATATGTTAAAAACAAATTGCTACAAATAAGACAAGAAACAATTCCTCCTCTTCTGATCAAAATACTACGTATTTATTTACAATTACCTGCAATAATGCCGCAAAATCCTTAAAATTTACAAAAAATGCAAAACAAACAAAATATGAACATTGTTTCAATATTGAAACGTATGTATAACGATGTAAACAAAACAAAACAAGTAAGTGGAAAACTGTAGACAATGTTTACACGTACAATGTAAATACACATACAATGTAAATGTACAATGTAAGTACACGTACAATGTAAATGCACAATGTAAATACACGTACAATGTTAATACACGTACAATGTTAATACAACACGTACAATGTAAATACACGTACATACAATTTCCCTGAGAAAAGAAAAAATGTAACTGATTAAAAATGATAAAAATACATTCAAATATTTTCTATTATGTAAATTGATATTGCAAAGGTTCATACCATTAATTATTCAGTCATGTACTTTCATGTTACCTAATTTAATATAGTATATTCATGCCAAACGTTTGCCATCTAAAGGCATTATGAAGTAATCATCCAGTGTAAATACCATACTATTGTAAAATAAATTTAAGACTCTTCATTTATTAAATCAATTATCAGCCATCGGATACAAAATGAACATTTTTTTTTATTGAGTACTTTTTTGCAGAAAAGCTTTATAATGGAGATTGTTCCGTGCAATTTTTATACCAAATTTATACAACAAAACCAGTAAAATGATGTTTTATTTCTTTATTCTTATGTGACATTAAAATTGGGTAGAGTTGTTTGATAACTTTTCCTGAGCTCTTATCAATAACGTTCTGAATAATTTAAATGTAAAATATTTGATTATATATGCATATTAAAGAGAAACTTTGGAATGGATGCATGTGAGACCAGTTTTTATTTGATTTAGTACTTAATGTGGTACACATTTCACAATGTAGTTGGTTTACTTTACATGCAATTTTCGAAATGGAATTTATTCTTACTGTTTAAATAACAGCATATACAGAATGTGATATGCACAAATATACACTCTCTTGCAGTTGAAAGTTTTTCTGTTAGAAGATGTGGATGCGGCTGTGTGGATTCCTAAACTAAAACATGAATCAATTAAATAAAATCCATATCTAAACCAATATAGTTTTTATTATCGTCATAATTATAACAAAGCACACATGGTTTGAAATAACAGGAAAGTGAATGCAGTCGTTAATACTCTAATCAAACATCTATCCATTACTTTTTTACCTCTATATTGCACGGTTTTGATTTAAATGTTATAAAAAAATTATAAAGTTTACTTTTATAAGTCCAATAAGACATACATATAGATTCAAGTTGCTCAGTGGAAACAATTATTCCTGTGCATTCGTTTATTTTTTTTCAGTGACGTTTGAAATATTAAAGCACATAAAAAACTATACAAAACACAATACCCTAAGTACATAAAATATTTGATTTTGAATTGTTTGATAAATCTCCATGATGACTAACTTAACTCGCCCATTCTTTACAGTGCATTTAGAATGACAATGAAAATGAATATATTTACCCGCCATATTTAGTAAAGTTGTACAAAAAAACATTAAATGTCTACGTGAAAAGGCAAAATTCAGATCCAGTGAAATTCGGTTTTGTCCATTTTTGGCTTGATACATGAAGTTTTTCATGTTGAAATAAGACCGGATTATGTTTATATGCTAGTATTTATGAAATTTGATTACTGAGTTACAAAACATCATAAATAAAAGGAAACAATATTTCGTTTTTCGTTGTATTCTCATATTGAACGACTCGACTCTTCTTATTTGACATTAGTGAAACATGACCACTATCTCGAAAAAACAGTCCCCTAGCTTTATACATTTAAAAATTGTTTACTTCTCAATGAAATTCTTTCCTTTTCACTGTATTATTGATTGTAGTTTGATTAACTAACGTCTTATGCCACATATTGCATGCTTATTTGTCATTCAAATTGGACTGACTTGGACTAAGAGCGGGAAATTTAGACTGGCACTAGAAAAAAAAAACCAGGAGTTCCTAAAATTATGGCTTTTGTTAAAAATACTTTTTCAGAAAGCATAACGCTTCCATTACAGACAAAGTTTGTTTGATTCTGTATTAAAGAAAATAAGAAATTGGAACTTGTTAACTCTACAAAATATTAATTAATGAAAATAAGAAAGAAAATCCACATGATTAAAATGTTGCCTTAACAACCCCATAATAATTTTCAATGATTTGACATTTTTGTCATGAAAATACACACTTATCACAAACGTAAAATATTTGATTTATTTTTTGTTTTTACACTTGTCATTTTCCCCATGACAAGTATCTCAGCACCAGAATTATTTTGTATATTTTTCAGCAACAACATGTTGATATATAAATAAAATTTAAAAGATGTATTCACCTTAAGTAGTAATAAATGATAATTCCATCTCCTTATCAGATTTCGTTTCCCCTTCAAGCTGCCATTTATAGTAAAATACTGTTTTCTTCTACTAAAATGTTATTCCCTTCATATTTTCTCACCATTAAAATATTGATATCGTTTCTTCATAACAATCTTAAAAAATTCGAACGTATTTCATAATATCAGAGAACAATATGCATTATGTGTCTTTTTATCATACCTAAATTACAATTGCATCAATCATAAGCAATTATATTTGATCAAACTTGTTTTATTTGTATATTTCAACTACCGGTAATTGAAGGATATATATCCCTTTATAAAATAGAAACTTAGATTAGTTTTTATTAAAGTAATTAAAAAAAACATATTGGAATAATACAGGAGATATATGAACCTTAAAAACAATACTGTAAATCCATAAAACTAATATTTCCTATTGCCATTTTGTCCATAAAACTTATGAAAAAGTATAGGATAATGAAAGTCCTATTTAAAACATTTCTTTATGAATGCTATGAAGGAAACAAATCAATTTCTGCAATATCGTGTAAAGTTTTTCTCCTTGTTTCAAGAAAAATACATTTTGTAATGTCTGCTTATATGCACTCCATATTTTGACACAAATCAATACAATACCAAACAAATCTAAACCAACAAATAGTACACTATATGTGTGTGGGAATAGGTACACAGGAAATACATTAAATATTACAAAAAATGACATCGTGTATTTGTACGAAGCAAACTGAACAATAGAACTAAACTGATAAAAACTTAAAACAGATCAAAAGAACAGATCTATGATAAACCTGTACACGGCAAGAACAAATTCTACATCTTAATATTTGAAAATTAAAACACCAACTCTTTGGTGGTAAAGCTATTTGTTCATTCCCCGTAAATCTACAGTCTATATATACGAAACAACCAAACTACTATACTATAATACAATTAACTATAACATCTAAATACATTTATGAGGTAGGTTGGTTGTCATTAGTTAATAATATCAACAAGTCACGACAATTATTAAGATAGGTCAATGCTTTAAAAATTATATTTCAATTTATTTTGATTTTTAGCACTCGCATAATTTGAGATAAAAAAAACCCGTTTCAATAAAATATACATTGCAACAATAAAACAGTAATTAACGAATGAAGAGATTCAAATATGAAATCACGGACTAAGTCCATTTCCGTTCCCACTTCCGTCGCTTGCGCCATTGTGTGGTATTGGTAACGATGGATCTCTCAAAGGACAATCCGCTATGAGATGTTCTGTTGATTTGCAGCTGTGACACCTTTTCGGTAAAGGTCCATGAGGACATTTAGAAGCTATGTGATTTCCAAAATCTCCACAATTGTAGCACCTAATATAAAAGAAATCAATATTCAGGAGACTGACAAAATAACTATGTTGATAGCAGTCAGACTTAAAGTTGTAAAATTCTGTTAAACATCATATAAAATCTCATAATAATTTTAGTTATTACTTTGAAAACTCGTTTTGGCAGTTGTTTTTATTTGTTCCGTTGATTGATCGCGTGTGATTTTGTCAGTACTTATGAACTCCCCTTTTTAAATTTGCCATGTAGTTCGGTATTTTTGTTGTACGTTTTTACCGTTGCTAAATAAGTTTTTCTAAAAACGTAAACATTTGTGTCGTATTTTCTGCTGCCTATGCATTGTTTTCTTCTCCGTAAAATAATTGAACTACTCACGTGTTTGCCATTGAACTATACATGGGTTTGCCATAGAACTACACATGTGTTTGCTAATGAACTACACATGTGTTTGCTATTGAACTACACATGTGTTGCCATTGAATTATTTATTTGTAGGACTTAATCGAAAATAAAGGTTTATAAATTTATTTTTGATTGTTTCCATGTCGTGTAGAAACTTGAAAGGAATTGCTTTACTTGACGTCGATCTTTCTGCTTTTTCCTGTCAGTCTATAAATCAACCTTACAGATTGTTTTTGTCTTACATAGTTAAATTGTCAACAAAATTTTTAAAAAAATCTCTGATATGTCCATATTTATTTGTATTTCTATGTATTTTCATATTTTTTTACAAACCTTATTTTCTTAAATTTCTTTCGTGAAAGGGGTCGTCGTGAACTTCCTTTACACTCTGAACCACCTGGTCCGGCGACAAAAGTAGCTTCCACACCAAGACCAGATGGTTTAGCTTCGAATTCTACTTCTTCGCCATCATCCAAACTTCTAAATCCGGCCTTATGGATGACACTCTGAAAATAAAAAAATGTGATTCTTTTATATATCAATAAGAATTGTTTATTGAAACAATTCTTCTTTCTCAAACGTTTGTGTGAAAGCATCAATTGAATATAACAGAAAGAATTTAATCATGCTACCTACATTCCTAAAATGGTCACTTGTATTAATGTCTAGACATGGTATTCCGATTATGGATTTTATAAACAATAAAGCAACCATTAACAGAATAACACAAAATGTTTAGTTTATACGTAAAACGAAACTGGTAAGAGCAAGATCATAATAGGAAAAAAAAACAGCCTATAAAATTATAAAGATCACTTTGCATAATATGTATATGGACAATCCTTTCAGTAAAAATAGTTGGGAAACAAAAGCCGCCATTATAGTCCATTAAAATCAAACAAAAGTGATGGTGAATAGGCAAAAAATTATGATTGCAAGTATCTATTTAACTGAAGTGTTTGCATATTTGATATAATGAAGTACAAATTATTCCACATATCATTGTACAGTCTCATTTACAAAGCGTCGGTGTTCTTATATTGGCATGCTTTTGGGCATTTGTCATGTACTGCTATAAATTACGTGTCACATAAACCGCCTGCAATAATTTCATTTATAACAACAAATTCATTTTGATTCATGGATTTTTGTGGATGTGTGTGTTTGGAATATGATTTTTGTTTGCTTGTTTTTTTTCACTATGTGTATTTTAGACATGTTTTACATGCATACGTGGATTATAAATAAAGCTGAAGTTAAATTTCACTACTTCTGTCAATTTTCCAAAACAATAAGAATACGGCTTAAGGTTCCATCAAATTGAAATTTATTAATAATGTTTCTTCAAATTATAAATGAAAACTTTCCAAATTTGACCTAAATAAATACATTCATTAAAATTAGAAAAATGACCTATACCAGTAGTATCAGATAAACTGTATTTCATTTAGGTTGTTGATTGTTATCTCTTTCTGGACGTTCTATGTCATAACTATTAAATGAATTTAAAATGTACAATAAGTTCGAATAACAGAATTGTTATTATAAGGTGTTTTTGAAAGTAAATAAGAAGAACGATGATGTTTTACTATCATACAATTGATGCAACAGTTCATTTGTAAAAGACAGCACTCTATCATATTGTTAAATCATGTTTTTCAACTATAACTATATTGTTCTTGAACAACAACAAACACAATTTTTTACTGTTATTTTGCTAGGTTTATGTCCTATACGGCATTTTACACTGGAGATTATAGATTTATTATAACCACCACCCAGCAACATCAATTATGCTTATATTCGTGTCATCAGTGATCGATTTTTAGTGGACGACAGACTCGGAGGTTTATTATTTCATCTTCTAAGAGAAAATTGTAATCGATACATCCATACTGACAGCAGTTTTTGCCGTCTAAGATCTCTGTGTCTACAGGCTAATGTATCATTGTTGGATACATTTCAGTCAAATCAACACCCTTTGTAATGGTTAAGCCGGGGCACGAAATTAATAAAAATATCCATAGCCCGTTCTTTAATTAAGTTCAGCACAAAGTGTAGTGGTTCGGTATATTTGTAATTTATTTCACAAAAACAAAACCGAATGATCGCCAAAAATTAAGAGAGAAAACAAAACTCAGAATATGAAAAAAATGTCCTCATTCCTTCTGAAATTTCATATATTTCTTCTTATCGTATAATAATCCATGTATATAATCATGATATTTATTTTATTAATAAAGACATATTTAAGTTTTGTTTGACTGAAATAATTCTTTTTTATTGATTATTATTACTGTATTTTGTAACATTATACCAGTAAAGGATATGTCAACAGATATAATACATATAAGTAGCGTAAAAATTAAAAAAAAAAAGGAAAACAAAACCCTCATTATTTTAGGAAGATTGTTGAAAATGTCGTGATCAAGTGACATTTGTTTGCACGAATCATGACGCCATCTGGTGCATTTTGATAGACTAAGATAGCCTATTCCATTTTAGTAAAGATAAGTCGAAAGGTCTGTTAAAAAAAGCATTCTATTCACATAAAATGTCTTTTAACATATATTCTGTCAATGGAGCATAATAGCCTGTCACTTTTCGATTCTATAGGTTAAATGCACACAGTATCAAATAATTTTAACAAAATAAAAAAAAAATTTTTGGTTGAAAAAACTGAATTTCTAGTTAACAGAGGTATTTATAGATTAAAAATTGTATTTTTACTGCTTCATTGTTTATGTCAATTAAATAATTGTTAATTTTACATATATACATATCTTTTTGTCCTCAATTCTCTTCAACTTCGTACTTCGTACTTTGTTTTGCCTTATAACTTTTTTAATTCGAGCATCACTGATGAGTCTTTTGTAAACGAAACACGCTTTTGATGGACAAAATTATAACCCTGGCATCTTTGATGAGCTTTTTTTTACAAAGAATTTGTAAAATTGGTATTTTGTAAAATCAGTCTGAATTAATTTAGGGAATTCATATATATATATAACTGGTGATCCAATGCATGGATCTGTGGTAGAGTTTTCACTTGTTTAGACGTTTAGATTTCTGTGAGTGCATCTTACGATCCCCTACGACAGATAATTTAGCTAATCTGCAATCAATTCCATCTTCATGCCTAACATATCATGTACTGTGTTACAACTCTAGATTCTACTGACGAGGGAAGAACAAAAATTTGCTTCCGCAAATTCGCAGATTTAAAATTGTTCGGGATTCGAACTCATGCTATTGAGATATCGAGACAACACCGCCTGCACTGTGTCCAAAGCTCTAGACCACTCGGCCACCTAGACTGAACTTAAAATTCAGCTTTCGGTGGCCTAGTGTTACCTTTCCTCGTCAGTAGAATCTAGAGTTATAACACAGTACATGATATATTAGGCATGAAGATGGATATTATAAGTATATTTTTTTTTTCTAAACACTCTCTTGTTGCTATCGCAAGACGTCATTTAAAACTAACTGTCTCTGAAAGAGGCAAACCGTATTAAAGTGTATTAAAAAATCTAAATATCAATAAGATAACGTTTTTTAAGTCTTGAGCTGTATTGAATAAAGAATTTTTACCCACACAAATAATATAACAAACAAAACCAAAGGAGGAAAATGTTGAAAAGATGCCTGGACCAGAAAACTTGTTTTAAGATTTGCATTTTAATAGACAGGTAATCATTGCGACAAACATAGATAATTTTGTCCTGTGGTCACTTACTTTGGTTTAAGTCATATCTTGATTACTGTAATATCTAAAGCTATGCAAATTGCAGGGCATCACACAAGATCATCAGATATACTATTGTAAAATTCTAATATTGCAACAAAGTGATCACTTCACAACAGAACTTATGTTACACATTAACAAAACATGACAAATAAAAAAAAGTAAAGAGACAAGTGCTACACAGACACTAGTTCTTTGCCTATTCAAATTTTTGCTCTAAGCGTTACATGCGAATGTCAATCAAGAAATGCAAGAAAAAAGATTCAAAACATTTGGTTGAGGCAAACTAAAGTTATAGAACGGAAACGTACGTACGGACGTACAGACGGACAAGGGTAAAACTTATTGCCCCCTCCGCTATGGCGGGGGCATAGAAAGAACAGTTCATGACAAAGATTTATATTCCATATCTATTAACAATGCAGTGCTCGCGATAGTTAAAGTAATGAAATTGAACTTCAACTTTACCATTAGAACCCTTGGTCTAGTTCCATCCCTGTAATAAGCACTTTAATATCGTGAAAATCATAAAAAGATGCAAATGCTCTAGAAAGTTATTCATGAACCAATTGAGAGATATCTTGTATCTTTTCCATAACAAGTACTTTGGGAAAGATCATATTGTCACAAAAAAACAAGCAGTCTACAATGTGACAGGAATGCCCACTTTTTATTTTTCACTCATTAAATTTCATATTTGACTAGTTCTGTTTATTCGACGAAGGTATTGCGGTCAGTTTTCTTTCTTACTAATTTTTCAATACTTGTCTGTAAATGCGATGTTAAAATAAATTACAACTATACAAGGGATATATCAAGTAAGCTTTCACTATTTTTCAGGTTTGACATATTTTACTAGCCGTCTTACCTTGTAAAATATAGGTTGAAATATGTACAATTTCTGATATGGGTCAAACAAGATTTACAAGATGCTCTAGAATGCGGTAATGTATACCGAATCAGCAATTACATAAAATTTACATATTGTACATGTTGTATGATTTGTGTCTTTTTGGAAGATCAAACATGGGCAAACAAGTAGATTGCGGAGATCTGCATTCTTTGCATAATGACAGTTGCAGTGTGTCTGCATACTTATTAATCGGGATACGAACTAAAATATTGTACAAATGGAGAAGAAGGTAATTTTGGTGGTTTGTATTATATACGAACAAATATTTTAAATTCAAACTAATAATGTAAATGGTAAAACTTTTAATGTATAATAACTATTTTAAGTATAACCATACTATAAGCATTATGAATTGGATAAACAACAGCGCCATCTGGTGAAGCCAGTTCGAATCTTCAAGCTAGTAAGAAGTATCTACTATCAATTCAATATGTGCATTTATTATTATCAATCTTATCAACAATCAAAATCTGGCTTCCTAATCCAATGTAAATTAGATAACGGTTCTTAATAATTCGAAAGACCTCTTTAAGTACATATAATCTAAGTCAAGCTCCTTGTTTTAAACTTTGGCACATTGAGAAATAATTAGTGCATACAAAAGAATGGTTAGTGTAGAAATACAAGATGAAAAAAGTGTGTTCAAAAAAATGTTTGATCTATAAAAATATTTATCATAATAATGAATTTTATATATACATATATATATATATATTAGAGAATATTCCTAAAATCTCTACCACTATATAATTATAATGACACGTAAATTAGTCAATATAAGCTTTGTTGTATATAACTACCAGCATTAAGGTTTTACATGATAATCTGAAAATATATTTCGGTCGAAT